CGAGCTCCTTAGCTCACTCCCACGCTCCTTAGCTCGATCTTAATCATCAATCTCCTGTTCAATCATCAAGCATATCTTTTACCACAATCGACCTGTCCTCCTCAATTTATACCATGAAGAGACCGTCCTTTGAAGTTTGATTGATCCGCCTAAGTTTCGGGCTCATTATTAATAGAAAGATTCTTCTTACCTCCCTAGAGATCCTTATTTTTGTACTTGTGTGATTTTGTGCATCAATAGTTGGTGTACTAGGTAGGGGACACCATAAGGGACATTTGTCCTAGTAACGTGATCGTTATCCCTCGTTTTCTTGCATATAAAGAACAAGGAGTTTGTACTGAATATGTCAGCAACAACTAGATAGAAGGCGAGGCCACCGCTTTTCTTGTGGATCACATATTCTGCCAATTGTTCTGGAGTATACTTGCCCTCCAGTAACTCCAATGTTAGATGTTCTACGCGGCTAGTAGGGTGACGAGGCCAAGGAATTGAGTCCAACAGAAAGGCGATTCGGCCTTCTCCCGAGCATCACATCCATGTCCCTATGTCGTGATTGCCCAGATACGCCAAAGTGTGGCCGTTCCCAATCCAAGCAGCCGCGTTTACGGTCCTTGATTCTAGATCGTTTATGTTCTGAAGAACGGTTAGACGGTTTTCTGCTCAATTGAATACTATGATCCCCATTCTTTATCTCTCTTTCTTTCAAAGTGTATATATCTTTACTGTTGCTCTGTGTTTGTTATTTTTTGTTGTGATTTTGTTCTGTGACCCCCGCTTTGTTTTTATAGACGAGAGATAATTTAACTTTGCTGTGCTTTTTCCGTTACTTGTCAACTTCTTCCAACATAAGTACACCAACGCACTTAAGAGCTTCTTTATCCATTTTTTGATATAGCTTTTGCTGTTTTCTGTCACCATCATACATACTCTATGTTGACAGCCGTGCAGCGCTTCGATCGCCGAGCTTTGAAAATCATGATGGGCAAGTCAAACATCGTGTTTGCCCCACGCACAACTTTCCGTTTTCCTAACCTCGAGAATACCAAAGAGCAACCCGCCCTCAATAATTACACTCATGATGGTTAGATTTCGTGAAGAAAAAACTTCAAGAATCCTGATCCACGTCATCAACGACGAATCAGAATTAGGGGGCAACTGTTAGGGGATGAATTTGGCATATTCAATAGAAGGCCCAAAACCTACTCAAAGCCCAAATCGGGACAAATGCCCAAATCGGATTCAGGCCCACGGCGAGTAAAGTCCGCTATGGACAACCAAACGACTCCATAAAATCGAAGGGCATATCAGTTAAATTCCCTCGAAGTACGCACTACACGAAACGCTATAAATACAGGAAAGCAGGTCCTGTCACATCTATGTCCAATCCACGCTGACACGAGGGAAAAACGCTCGAAGCTAGTCCAAGAGCTCCTCAACTCTTCTCCGAGCTCCTCCGCTCGTCCTAGAGCTCCTCGGCTCTTCTTCGAGCTCCTCCGCTCATCCTAAAGCTCCTCAGCTCTTCTTTGAGCTCCTCAGCTCGTCCCAAAACTCCTATGCTCGTCCCAGAGCTCTGCAGCCCTCCTCCAAGCTCCTCTGCTTGTCCCATAGCTCCTCAGCTCTTCTCCGCGCTCCTCGGCTCATCCCAGAGCTCCTTAGCTCTTCTTCGAGCTCTTCAGCTCGTCCCAAAGCTCCTTAGGTCTTCACCGAGCTCCTCGGCTTGTTCCAGAGCTCCTCAGCTCTTCTCCGAGTTCCTCGGCTTGTCCTAGAGCTTCTCAGCTCTTCTTTGAGCTCCTCGGCTCGTCCCAGTGCTCCTCAGCTCTTCTCCGAGCTCCTCAGCTCTTTTTCTGAGCTCCTCTGCTTTTCTCCGAGCTCCTTGGTTCGTCCCAGAACTCCTCAGCTCTTCTTCGAGCTCTTCGACTCGTCCCAGAGCTCATCAGCTCTTCTCCGCGCTCCTTCGGTCGTCCTAGAGCTCCTCAGCACTTCACCGAGCTCCTTGGCTCGTCCCAAATCTCCTCAGCTCTTCTTCGAGCTCCTCGCCTCGTCCCAGAGCTTCTCAGTTCTTCTCCAAGCTCCTCTGCTCGTCTCAGATCTCCTTTGCTCTTCACTGAGCTCCTTGGCTCATCCCAGAGTTTCTCAGCTCTTCTCCGAGCTCCTCGGCTCGTCCCAAAGCACCTCAGGTCTTCTCCGAATTCCTTGGCTTGTCCCAGAGCTCCTCAGCTCTTCCACTCGTCCTAGAGCTCCTCGGCTCTTCTATAACATGAACTACGAACGGCTTGATCCTTTCAAAGGGTACGTAGGCAGCCTTGTATACAAGGCGTAGCTATCAGGACAATCTGAGCTCCTCAGCTCGCTCCCGAGCTCCTTAGCTCGCTCTCAAGCATCAAGCTCGTCTTCAATAATCAAGCATGTCTTTTATCACAATCGACTCGTCGTCCTCAACTTATACCATGAAGAGACCGTCCTTTGAAGTCCAATTGATTCGCCTATGTTTCGGGCTCGTTATTAATAGAAAGATTTTTCTTACTTCCCTAGAGATCTCTTTATTCGTACTTGTGTAATTTCGTGCATCAACAAACTTACAGGAAGAGAAATACATAAAAACACATCAACAAGAGCTAAACATACCAAAATTGATGTTATATATTGTGTTTTGTGAGTTTATATACTGTATTGTTAAATAAATCTTTGAGAATTTTTACATATTTATCTAAAAGAAAAATCCATACTATGTTTTATTAACATAATCGAAGGTGATTAATTTTCCTAAAATCTCAAAATAGTTATAGAAAAATATAGTAAGTGGTTTAGGTAAATAAGTAATGAGATTTATATACATGCCATATTATTAAGCTTGTTGAAGAAGAATTGCAATTTCAAAGATACCATAATTTTTCTTAAATAAATGAAATTAGTTATCTATAGTTTAAAATTTACTTTTGATAACATTTATCTTTTGAAATAGAAAATTAAATTCAATTTATAAACATTTAAGTAAGGGTCAATTAAATCTAAATACACAGATGACTGAAAAATTAAGAATATATACATGTTTTTTGTATAATTAATTCTCTCTCATCAACTTGTATAAGTTAGACAAAAATACCCCTCCGCATGTAACAAATTGTTTAACGTTATAACAAAATAGATATCGACGAGACATAAATTTCAGATAATAGTTTCGGTCAAATTTTCGATTATGACTCAATTTTCGATAAATCATATTATATCGCGATAAGTTTATAAGTTACATGGTAAACTAATATTTATCGTGTTAAAATATTTATTACCCCCTCCGTTCCTTAAAGATTGATGTTTTAGAGTTTTTACATATATTAAGAAACAATCATTGTCTAATTATTTGTCAATTATTTTTTTATATCAAACATTTTTTAATAAGTTTGAACCAATAGTAATATAGAACAGATAATCATTGCACCTTGAAGTTTACGATATATTAATATCAATTAATAAAAAATAAAACAAAAATCTAGAAAATCAATCTTTGTGGAACAAATTAAAAAGCTAGAACATCAATCTTTTAGGAACAGAGGGAGTATATGATTATATCAGCTAACTTATGTATTAACCGGTTTATTTACTTTAGTAATTTAATTATTTCCGTTAACTTATACATTAGCGTATTCATTTATCATGATAATATAATTGTTACGTTTAAGATATGTTAGCATTTTATATACGTAGCTAATGAAATTGTTATCCGTTTATGAAATTGAACCCAGAAGAATGTAACAATGGTTGTTGCCGTCGACAACCTATTCTCCTACCTTGATCAATTAATCTCATCAAATCTCTAATTGGCAAATTCCGTCAAGGTCTTAGACTTCGCAGCTCGATCTATTCAATCCACCATGAATCCTTTAGCCGTCGGACTCTCTCCGACGTTATTTCAATTATGACCACCGCTTGTAAAATTATCACTGTCGATATCATCATCACCCATCATCACCGATATCATCATCACCACCACCACCTGTAAATCACTGAAACTACCACCGATATTTCAACTATGACCACCGCCGATAAAATTATCACTATCGGTATCATCATCATCTATCGCCATCGGTATGATCATCACCACTACCATCTATAAATCACAGAATCTACCCCAATTTTGATTTTGGTATTCACATAATCAAAACCCAAAAAAATTTGATTTTGGTCTGCACATAACCGTGAAGAGAAGAAGAAAGGAAGAAAAAAAAAAGAAAAAATTAAAAATAAATAGTTTAATTATAGTAAAGGATGGAGTTGTCTTTTCCACATGTACAGAAAATATCAAATAGTATCAAAGAGAATGAACTAATTATTGAATCTTCTATTGTCATACTTTATAGATACTCTTTAAGTAAACAGGCGTATATACATACGTGTATATATATATATATTGAAAAAACATGAACTTTCAAATTTGGGACAAAAAAACCACCTCACGAAATGTCATACAAATCGTAAAGTTTGGTTTGACTTAAAAAAAAAATTCATGTTTAAGGTTAACGGAAATTTAACGTCACGCCCGAAATTGCCAAGTCAACGAACTTTACGATTGATATGGTATTTCGAGAGTTCATGTTTTTTTCGTCTCAAATTTGAAAGTTCATGCTTTTTTTTACATTTTCCCATTATATTATTTATATTTTTAATTAATGATAATATTATTAATATTAATTAATCCTTCAAATAGATGCTATCATTTTTATGACTAGATTATGTATCCGCGCGTTGCGCGGGATTTTAATTTTAAATTTTTATCAATTCGAATTTTTGAGCATAAATTGATTCATTTGAATTTTGAAAGATTTTATTTTACACATGTTCATTATCTTTCCAAAGTAGTAAAACATTGCTCACACTTTTCAGTACAATTTGTCTCGTTATCTTTTATGATTTACTCGTCGTCTCTCAAAATCTACCCTTTATTCACCTTATATTGGTTCACATATAGTATATTCAACTATAAATTAGTTTTTAGAAATCGAGAAACAAAACTTCGTGTAAATTCTATCCTCCGGTTTACCGAATTAGAGAGGAATACGCTTTGAGACGGCGACTTAATAGTGACAACGGCGGGAATTATGTACTTCACCAGAGCAAAAACAAGTTCTCGAAGACGAAGATGAAAGGACGACGAGACTAAGAGAAAGGTTTCAGAGAGAGAAAATATGAGACAAAGATGAAGATAAATCAACATGGCTACTACACAAGTGCGTGAGGACAAAATGGGAAGAAACGTGGGCTAAATTTTACTAATGTCTTGGACAATTTTCCATAACCCCGAAAATTTTATTTGCCCAGATCGGTTACCTTACACCCAATTATCTCTTTATTTTAATTTTCAAAAATAATTTTATTTTGGTAAATCAATTAAACACAAACTTTGAACCTAAAAATTTTTCCTCTTCCCCCTCATTTCTCTCCGTCGTCGAAAGAAAAAACAGAAAAGCCAATTCTCTCGATTCTTATTCTCCGGCAAGATCTTCAATGCTGCTTCTCCGGCGACCCAACGCTACTCTCCGGTGAGTGCTTTGACATTGCTTCTCACTGAGTTTTCTTCTCCGGCAGTGATGCTTCCGTTCTTCTTCTCCGTTGACTCTTCTTCTCGGTTGGCGTCTTCTTTATATTTTCCTGTGACTCTTTTCTCAAGCGTGTCTCCGGTGACTCATTCTTCTCCAGTGTGTCTCCTCCTCGTCTCCGGTGGAAATTAGGGTTGTTCTCGACTGGAGATCTCCGCCGTTGTCGATAGTTCTCGGAGATTAGTAGTCTTTTGATTGCAGATTTGTGGGTTAGGTCAGAGATTTAATGGTGGTCGTTGTAGATTTATCAATTTTGTATTGCAGATTTGTTTGTTGGTTGTGTTGTTTTGATTACCAATTTATTTCTTTGCTTTGTAGATTTATTTGTTTGTTTTGCAGGTTTGTTTGTTTGTTTTCCATTTGTTTGCAGATTTATTTGTAGTTTTAGATTTTTTTTCTCAGATATTGCAGATTTATTTAGCAGATCTATGTGTTGCTCATCTGATTGCAAATTTATTTATAGTTCTTAAGAATTCTTTATTTGCTTTGTAGATTTTTTTTTTTTAAGTTTTGCAAGTTTGTTTGTTTGGCTCAAGTATTGTGTGGGTGTGTGTTCGTTAGTCATAGTCATGGAAATGTCAGATTTTGCTCTTGGTCGTTTGGCTCAAGTATTGTGTGGCACTAACATTGAAGCCAACTTTCTGTTTTCATACTTGATCAAGCCATCAAAGCACAAGGTTGTGAGAAGGATATTGGAGAGCTCAAAAAGTTGTGTTCAGTTGTTATGAGAAAGAGATACAAGAGTTAAGGAGCTTCAAAAATATGGTTGTGTGCTTTGGTCATAGTTCTATGTAAGAGGTTTATTTTTAGTTGAGTTTGTATTGATTGGTCTTTCTCTTGAGATTGGATTTAATAATTAGAGTTTATTGAGATTGTATTGGTCTTAAGAGATTCTATTGAGTTTATTGTATCGGTCTTAAGAGCTTGTATTGACTAAAACATAAAATAAAGTTATATCCCAATGGATTTAAGTCAAAACATTTGGTAGCATAGTTCTTGGTTAATTGATGACAAAGTTGTTTACGGTTTGTAGTAAAATTATTTGTTTTAAAGTCAATATATTTACAAATAGCCAATTATCTCAAATTTTAGCAAAGTGTTTAAAATAATTATGTTTAACCAATTTTATCACCTTACTCAAATTTTATATATCGCATGTATACTTAATATTTCAATCAAGATGGAATCAATGTTGAAACATGAATTTAACGTTTGCTTGCACTTTAACTAGCAGATGATCAATTTTTACATGGACACTTGCTGTTGTTTTCTACAGCTTTGTTTAATTGATCGCATATTTGATTGCATATAAGGATAAAACCCTAAATCGTATAGTAGATTCTAGCAAACAAATCTGTAGCATCTTAAAATAAGTCTGTGAATATAAATCTGTAATTAAAGGGTATCAACAATGAAAGGACCCATACCCGCTACACAGAGCTGGTTGACTTCCTGGTCTGGTCCAAACTATCTTTATATGCAAACCCGCCAATAACAACGGAAAAATAACTCTTGACTTAACCAACCTGTAAAAGAGAGAGGGGTGAGCAATTAAAAATCACTCAGTGAGGGCAAGCCTCAGGGCTCACGAAGTCCTCATACACAAACACGCTTAGACAATTACAAAGTCTAAACCTAAGACAAGCATGCAATCACGTGTCAAAGATACACACACATCAAACAAATGAGACTACGTCCCATAACCACTACCATAAAGGCATGTATGATACGAACGTATAACACACGCCGTCTACCCGTACGTACTGGATCCCTCGTGCCTGAGCACTTCTTCCGTGCAACCGGATCCCTCGTGCCTTTTGCACTTCTTCCGTGCACCTCATACTTGTCGGCTCGTCAGCCATCCTGATCTATCTGCAACCCGCGTCCATAGACCATCACACAACTACAAGGATCTCTCATATAGGACTCTCTCTGCGGCTCACCACATAATCGTGTCATTAGCACATTCTCTCATCACACAACATTTATTTACCACACAAACATGCATTTCACGAATCACACAACCCGCACTAAAATATTCATTTTTATTTTATTTTCATTTTCTAAAATACTAGTTCATTTTATAAATAGGTATATATCTACATATAAATACGTATAAATATAATATACAATCACCACCCAAATATGTTCGGCTTAACCCTAAACTAAGTAACTATCTAAACATATCGGTATATGAAAGTGACACTAACTAGTCTTCACCTTAGCTATTCGGGTTGATTCCTCGGTTTAGTACTAGAAACAACGTGAGACCGGTTCAACAACACTTCTCAATCTGCAACGGTTTACATAACCAATCAAAGATTATTTTTCCAATTAATAATCTATGATCAAATTCTCCAAATCAATTAATGAGACAATCTTGGTTTAATGGATTTTTGGTATTTCTCTAATTAAATCAATCAGCTCCGGTTTAGAGATTAAACCAACCCAATTTAATAATTCTACGATAACAATCATGTGACCACTGCTCCAACGCCACGGTTTAATAATTAAACAAAACCAATATAATCCCCAATTATATATGATCGCATAACACCATACTTCTATTCACGTACCACATAACTACAAGTCAACTCACGTCCACGTGAATTAAGTTACGGTTTTTGTCTTAATTAAATTAAGATTCTTCGGTTTAAACTGGTTAATATGTGGTTCAATAATCAACACAACAACGACGACACGAGAGACTTTAGCTTTGCCTTTGCTGCATACCTTTCTCGGCGATTGCTCTCCACGGATCTGCTAGGCGGTTCAATAAGGCGGTTCAAGCTCAAGGCGGTTAGGCCCACATGACTCACTCAACAATCCAAAGGAAACATAGCAAGGCAACATTAGAAACTTCCTGCGCAAGTTATAGAAAAGTCTAGGGTTTCCTTACCCTTAACAGTTTCGACGATGGTGACGGTTACTCCGATGACAGCGGCTGACATCGTATGACTCGTGGTGTCAATATCCGGTGACACACGGTGGCTGCGGTGGTTCTCCGATTCAGATCTGGTGGCCTTCTCCCTCTTCTCCTCTTTCTCTCCACTCTCCTTCTCCTTCCTTTCTCTTCATTTTCCGGTGAGAGAGTACCACCTCCCTCCATCACGTTTCCAAGTGAGACCTCCCTCTTCCTCCACAAGATTCACAGCGACAACAATACGTCAACGGCTTGATAACTAATCAACGACGGCGATCTCATGACTACGGGTGGGTTGCTCAACCTTTTGTCTCTTTGCGGCTTATGAACAAGAAGATGTATACACACGTACAAAACTCTTTTCTCGATTTTATTGGTTACTTGAGCTTTTAATGGGCTTTGTCTTTTTTTTTATTATTATTTTTACAAATGGTCCAACTACCAATTTGGAAAATTTGGGATGTTACAAACAAATCTGTAGAATATAAGTCTGTGACTACTTCGTCAAATATATCTATCATGATGAAAAATAATTCTGTGATTCATAATAAATGTATATATGTGACAACTAAGAGTCAATCTAGTAATTATTTTTTAGTCAATCAAATCTGTAGCAACATACAGACTTATCATAATTCGGTAGTAACTATTAATAAGTCTGCAGTTACGGGAATGAAAATAAGTCTGTAAGAAAAACAAATCTGCAGAAGCAAATCTGTGAGACAAAGAAAATATCCGGTGTCCTCAACAAAATCTGTAAGATAAGTCTGCGGTAGAAATAAAATCTGTGACAGCCTATAAATTGGTAGTAACCTATAAACAAATCTATAAGAAAAATCTATGGTAGAAATAAATTTGTAGCAGCTCGAACTTAAATTCGAACTTTCCCATTAATTAAAGTTCATAGTTAATTTCATGAAGTCGTTTCTCTATACTATATTTGACGCCAGCAAAACGTATACCTTTAGAAATATTTTTATTGGGAGATGCTTGTTTTTGATACTGTGGACTTGGATTCATTATCTCCGAGGAGGACTTTTGATCACATGGGGATCCGCGAGGTTGGATCTTTATGCTATACATGTTTTAACTAAATATGTGCAAAATTAATTTTATCGCTTATCATGTTTGATTTGTTGTTGGACATTCAAACTCAAAATTCTAACTATTGTACTTGAACTTAATTCCAAAAAAGGATCTATAATGCTGATATGTGATAATGTTCACTTTGATTTTGGATTGATTAAGAAAAACCAGTTTGAACTTAATCATGAGACAAACATAGAGAAAAATCAAGAAACGACTTAACTTAAGTCACTTAAAATAAGTTTGTATTTTTGCATGCAAAAACTTTTGTTTCTTTGTACCGCATTCATAAACATGAACTATAGAAAATAAGCAAAAGTTTTAGGAAGAACTTCAAAAATAATACTTTGATAACACCATTTTTCAAAAATACTACTTTTTGTCCATTTTTAAAATACAATAAATACAAATTTCTTAAGTTTTCTACATCATGTTACAAAGAATAATTATAATATTTTAAAATATTTTTATATTGCATGTTATTTGAAATCTATGGCGACGAAAGCGAGACAATTTCGAGCTGAATTCCGTAGCCACATCCAACAACTTGAAAAAATTGACAATGTACTATAGATGGAGATACTAAACGAAATGTTTGAGTTGGATCTTGAAGAAACGAACTAGCGGAAGGAGAAACCGAAACTTGAAATTTAAACTAGAAGATCAAGATGTATGATTTTAATTCGTTGATTTCATTAGATAACCTAATTTAGATTAGTATTATCACTCGTAATCAGAAGTTTCATTTACATAGTCCACAAATCCCATAACTTCCATGTCTATTTCATAAAAGCCCAAGGCCACATCACTAATAGAGGAATTAATCGAGATCAATGGAGGTAAGTTTTTTTTTATCTCTCTAAATGGCTTCCTGATTACGTTGACCGACTCATATGTCGAATTTTCAGGTTTTTTCATGAAATCAGGATAATCCTTAATGTAAAGATGTTGACGAATCTTCACTCCATTATCTGTTTTTGAAAAGTTAACTGTAATCGAAAACATATATGCGAGCTCCATGCATGAGCACTTATAGCCTTAAGCATTTCTTTATCCGCAAATACAATGTGGGCTTTTGCAATGGTTCCCAAGGTATCATTAACACTGTATTTAGTGATATATTGTTTGATTCCTGGACCGATATATAACATTCTTTCTCAAAATACAATTTTTTAAAAAAAATAATGACTAAGTTGTTCAATATTTTTTACCCCAATCTTAACTTCGTGATAAAAAATTTAAGCTTCTAGCAGAGTATAGTCCATCGGTTCATAAGTGTCTGAGGGTATATAAATCACTATCCCATGATACAAAAATAGGCACCACCATCAAAATCACTGCCCGAACATTCATTGTCAAGCAACTTTATGTTAATAATTTCATTTATGTTAAACAATTTTTACTCCAAATACATGATCATCGTTCCATTTATCAAAATCGCAGATCTCATCATCTTTGTAGTTGAGCCCTGTAATTGTATAAAATTCTTGAAACTTTTAGTAGCTTTCCTCAAAACACATACAATAAGTCATGTTTTTGCTCATTAATTAACTACAAATGATGTCGTGTGTATTAAGAATAATATGATACCTCAGTTAGGTGTAATTTTTTAGTACAATATTACAAAGTTGAAATGTATAAATATAAATATGTATGACTTCAGTAATTACTTGGACCCAACGCTACTTAAAATTTCCTTTTTCCAGGTCTTTATTTTTCATTTAAATAATGCCAAAAATAAAGAAGAGGGGAAAAAGAAAAAAAAATGTACAAAGACCTCAAAGTCAAACTCGTGTCCATTGAATACATAATACAATAAATAACTAAAATTGCTTGCTTTCCAAGGCAAAGACTAATAAACACATAAAACTTATTTAAATCCCTTAAAAAGACAACAAAATCTACCAAATTATTAGCTATGATAAAGTTTCCTTTTATTTTATCAAACAACTTTTCAAAACCTAAAAGGAAATCAGATAGATTTGAATTGGTATCTCTATATAAACACATCTACGATCATAATCGAGTTCTAATTAGTGTTTTGTGTTGAACCAAGATGGCAAAAGCAACAACACGTGAAGAAAGGATGTGGTGCGGTCACTGTGGCGTCAAAACTCCAATCCGCCGTGAAGGGATCGCCGGTTCCGTCAAGTATGTGTGCTCTCACCAAATTCTTTTTCCATCTATCTTTCTAATTGTTAAGTTTTATATTTATAATTTGGATATATAAATTACTTTCGCAGGTCGTGTAATTGGTGTGGAAAAGTGCTAGCAGATGAAACTGGAACCGCTGATGAATATAATAAACTCTTTCTTCGACTTCAAGTTTTACAAGACTCTCTTACTGTTACCAACAAAAGAGCTAGACGAATCAAGAAACAATAAACTGATTTTATCTTTTTATTTTGTACATATATCTATCTACTTTAGAAATTTTTAATACTTTTATGTATTGATCTACTTTTCACATTATTTCTTTTATGTATTTGATCAAAAAAACATTAAGATCTTTATGTATAGATTTAGAGGTAAGAGAAACCTTAATCTATTATGAATCTATGATACAATTCGTCTATACTCCTCTGTTTTGCTAGCGACAAACAAGGCACGTTTTGTTTGGGTTATATAATCATGTCTCAAGTTGTGTACTAGATGAAATTAATTAATTGTTTCAAACAAATTTCCGAGGCTAGAAATCTTGACGAAAAATGTTTTCTTTTAATACAGAAGTAGAAAAATCTTTGAATACGATGCTCCAACGCATATCAAAACAGAATGATCAAACAGAGCAACAACAGTATAGCCACATCTGTCTTTGTGTCCAAAATAGAGTGACAAAAAGTAATGAATTTTTATGTGGCATTGATTTTATCACAGGAAAGTCATAATCAACTCAGGTCTTTCTCTTGTGTTTTGAATAACATTTTCTTGCGATAAAGCATGTTATGCATTACGAAGGTCTTTCTCAAAGACAACAAGTAGCTTGATACACAGACAATGATTTTTTTCATTTCCATATATATCTCTTAACATTTCAACTGACATGGATTATTATTGTTATATATATAATATAGTTTGTTACACGTAACATTCACACACACGACATGGAATACAATGTACAAAATTAAACAAACATGGGAGAATAGCCACAAGGGGGAATAAAAACAATATGCTGCAATCATTAGTCACACTACATGTAAATATTGTTACAAGGAACCTGATATACTTATCCATGAAAATCTTACAACAATAGTGTTAAAGATTTGCTCTCTATTCTTTGCTGAAGAGAGCCTGGAACTGTGCGATTGAGCTTTGGGTTTCCGCTTAAGTTTCTGCAATTGAAACGATTGAATCTTTTAAAAAAGAGTAGAGTGAGGGAGATAGAGAGAGAGGGTGTAAAAAATAGAAGCTCACATGAATGTCAACAGCTTCATATCAGCAAAAAACGCCGGAATCTCTCCTGATAGATCATTCTTTGATAAATCTCTGTACATTGAAGAGAGAAAGATTGCAAAGTTATTGTCCTTCTCTCAACGCGATAAATCATACCGAATACTTAGTGTTAGAGTTTCATATGCTTACAATTCTCTCAACTTTGTTAGCTTGAATATTTCAGGTGTTATGGTACCGGTCAATTCGCTCGCCGTCAGGTTCCTAATGTTCAAAGTAGACCCAAAAAAGTTAAAACTTGTGAAAAAGAAAACACGGAAAATACAAATTTTTTTGATGATTAACAAACAAAACATACAAGGATATGACAAATGGTGGGTCAGAGTCAGGATAACTGCAGTTTAAACCTTCCCACCGATAGAATAGAGGAGCACATACATCTCCTTGCCAGCTTATCTTTCTGCTTAATCCATATGTGTTCTTGATGTTCATCATAGCAGAAACTAATCATTATTTAGAAAATCCGAGACAAAAGATCGGTTAGAATATCCCACATCGGAAGTGAAGATAATTCAACAATAGTATAAAAAGCATTTGAAAATTTAAATTGGAATTTATAATCCTCAATAAATCATGTTTAAGTTAGCTTACCTTCATTTTGATCTGTCTCAAGTTGTAGAAAGTCCAAGACTTTATAAATCTCGAGGGCGTTGATAAGAGGAGGAAGAGTGGAGTTACCGGTCATGGCAAAAGAGAAATTGAATTTTCCATTTGAAGAACTCACAGCTCTTGGATTGAATATAGTTGTTAAACTGAGTTTTTCTGGCCTGAAAAAGCTAAACCAACGTAAGCCACCATTGTAAGTAATGTCAAACTCTCTGATCTCATTAGCTTGAAAATTCTGGATTTCTGCGAAATGCATGTATATATGTGACTGTGCAGAGATGTCGTTGAGAGTCCACCCTAAGTTTAGAGTCTGACTAGCATTAATAGGGATAAGAACGGTTTTCATTGCGAGTTGAGGAACATTGTACAAGTTATTTGTATCCACAGGAAGATTCGTGCTTAACGACATTGTTTTGTCATCAGAGTATGGCGCCCACATTCGATCATGGATATCCTTATCGTACCTATAGAGAAAAGAGAGGCTCCTTTTGTTACTTTCAAACACGAAGAACAAACAAACCAAAAAAAAGAAGTAAACTGAACTATATTGAAATGTTAGATCCACAACATACAACTCGTCTATGTAAGAGCATGTACAGTGGTAATCTCTCACCATAGTTTCTCATATACAAAAGTATTACTAAAATAATAAATATTATTATTTAATTACATAATCTCTCAAAAAAAATGAAGAGATTCTCTCAAATGAAAGATTATGAGAGATTATCTCTACTTTTTTAACTCATGTAATTAAATAATAATATTTTTGTACATGAGAGACTTTTGAGAGACTCACCACTGTACATATATGCTCTAACAGTTCTCATAATTTGAAATAAATAATAAATCTAACAAACATATATTTTTATGGGAGACTCACAAAAATGCCTTTTTTTCAATACCCTTTTTCAAAAATGCCCCCTTTGGCTGTCCATTTTTAAAAATACCCCTTTTTATGTACAAAATGACTAAACTACCCTTCTTTTAATAAAAGATATCACAAATATATAAGAAAATATAACAAAATTAGGTCCACAAAATACAAAATATTTTTTGGCGGGAAAAGTGATCCCACAATTTTTCCCGCCAAAACACTTGTAAAACCTTTAAAATACCTTGTAAAATTTTCCCGTAAAATTTTTTCCCGCCAAAAAATTTTTTTTGCGGAAAAAGTGATTCCGCAATTTTTTTGGCGTTAAATTTTTGGCGGAAAAAATTTACAAGGTATTTTAAAGGTTTTTTACAGGGTATTTATAAGGTTTTACAATGTATTTTAAAAGGTTTTACAACGTATTTATAAGGTATTTATAAGATATTATAAGATTTTACAAGCTATTTTATAAGGTTTTACAAGTTATAAGGTTTTTTTTATAAGGTTTTACAAGTTATAAATACCTTATAAAACCTTATAAGTACCTTGTTTATCTTTTAAAATACATTGTAAAACCTTACAAAACACTTGTAAATACTCCGTAAAACCTTTTAAATACCTTGTCAATTTTTTCCGCCAAAAAAAAAAATTTTGGCGGGAAAACTTTTTACGGGAAAATTTTACAAGGTATTTTAAAGGTTTTTACAAGTGTTTTGGCGGGAAAATTGCGGGATCACTTTTCCCGCCAAAAAATATTTTGTATTTTGTGGACCTAATTTTGTTTCAAATAAGGGTAAAATGGTCATTAAAAATTAAAAGAGGGCAAACTTAAAAATGGACTCTCAAAGGGGGCATTTTTGAAAAGAGGTATTGAAAAAGAGGCATTTTTATCAATTTCTCTATTTTTATACTAACTTTAAAAATAAATCATCCCGCGGTGTACCGCGGGTTAAAATCTAGTTGTTTGGTATAATCATATTATAAAATAGAAATTTAATTAAATCATTAATTATATATTTATATTTAATATATTTTTAACTAAAACCTAACCAAATTCCAACCAAATGAAACAAAACTACATAACTTTATTTGGTTTCACTTTCTACAAAATTAACAAGTTCACAAAACCAAAAAACCAGAAACAAAGGATACAATCTTTATGAAAATGTGCCTACCAAAAAAAAAATCTTTATGAAAATGTACCTGATGAATGATGGAGTTGGATCAGTCGGTGGAAAGTAAACTCTGCTCACCAACATCAACGATCCACTTTGAGTGACATAGGAATTATTGTTCAACGGACGAAGTTCCAAGGACGAAATAAACGGTGTCGTTTCTCCTGTTTTGACAAGACAAACTTGGAGACGGTCTTGTGTTAAGACATGGATGATCTCGTGGATTGATGCACTTGCCACTCTTTGGATTGAAACAGAAGTCCATTTGGTAGCACCAATGTAAAGATCAAAACTTGGAAGTTGATTCAAATCGTCGTAATTCCCATACAAAAAGGTTCCTCTTATAAGATATTTCGAGTTCTTTGTGAGGTTGAAGTTGTAACAGTTTCTTTGACCCTCTGGAAAGCTTCTTAATTCCCAAGTCTGTTGTTGAAATTGAGTGAATAACGTTTTATTGATCCTCCGGGCCACTCCACTGTCGATGTAACTCACGTCTGATATGTATGTTATATTTGTCGACCTCTCCACATAGGTTGTGTTTATTGGGATCAACCCACAATCCAAACTGATGAATCCTGTTCATGAAAAACTTAATAAATATAAGTTTTATAGGTAAATTTGGTAGCAATATATGTAACTTTCGTATCAAGTATTTGAGGTCATTTAATCATGGACCGTCAAAACTCGTGAACCCCAACTTGACTAGTCAATTACAAGTGCGTGAACGGATGAATCTTCTCTAGAATTCGGAAACTTTTTTTTTTTGTATTTTTATGATATATTTATTTTGTTTCATTATAGGTGTGGTTTAAGGGTTTTCTCAATAAAAATGTTAAATTTTCATTTTAATCCCTTGTTAATACACGATATAACTTTTTTATTGATTAATACATTAAAATAGTAACGATAAAATTAAATTTTATCAAAAATCTGCATTAAGAATATAAACCGACTGAACAAGGGTTAATTAATGTTTCTACACCCAGAGGTCTGGGGTTCGAGTCCCAGATACTGCGATTTATTAATAAATTTGCAGATTATTGGAGGCAAGTGTGCAGGAGATCTCCAGCGATGTACAATTATAGCCGTTCGCCAGGATTCTACGCAGAGAGGGAAGTGTCCATCAAGAGCATAAAGAAGGAGGTGAAGGAGGTGAGTATGAAGAAGAAGGTGTCGTCTATCGTGGATCTAATAAGGGTCGGAAGGAATTGTCCGTTGTAGAATCGTCTATGTAACAGTTCTCATAATTTGCAATAAATAATAAATCCAGACGTTAAAAAAAAAAAGAATATAAACCGACATTTATTTTTAAAGAAAATTTAAGTTATAAAACAAGACTTAGTATGAAATAGATGGAGTATTTCCTTGTATGATAGAGGATTAATTAAAATTTACTAATTTAGAAAATTTTCTATTATATATGGGTGTTATCATTGTTAACTCTAAATACAATAAAATTTCTTCTAAGATTTATCACAAAGAAACAAACTTCAAAAGGGTGCTTTAGGTTTAGGTGTATAACAATCAAAGCCATCAACCAGAAAAGGATAAAGAAAACAAAGTAAGAACCTGACTCATCTTGAGATTGGGCTGATTGAAAAATGGAAAATACTGTGATCAAGAGTAGTAAAAACACATTAGGAGCCTTCATTTTTTGGGTGGTTGCTCTGTTTCAAAGGAGGATTGTTCTTGTTGGGAAAAGTTGCAACGATTACACTAAATAATTGGTCAGTTAATTAAGGGTTGTGTAGACTTTGTGCTAAGTCTTCAACATTTATATTGATAGGGTGATTATAACATTACCATTTTTATGATATAATTTCGGAGTTGAGAAAGTCCTTTGAAAATGATTTTTCCGCAAAAGCACCACAAGAAGACTAATTAAAACCCCTAGATCAAATCTTAAATAGGCAAATGATCTATGTGGGATGTTTGCACATAGAAGAATCGAATTAATAAACCCCGCTCGAGTAACATTGTCATAATACCGTTAGTCTTGTTTCTTAAGATATTATTTTCTTATACCGGATATTGGAATTTCGTCAAAGTATATGATTAATCTTAAAAATTAGAAAGCAAATACCCTAGTTTGCCTACGACCTCTTCTTTTCTCTCTTGTGGAAGAACTCAAATTAGAATTGGTAGCAGAAATCAATCAAAGAAACTATAAACAAAGAAATAGAAAACGACAAAGGGAGAATGAGTAAATCTTGTTTATTTAGTTGGTGAGTGTCTTCCTCTGTCTAGATAATACGTGAAAGCTTTTGTTAAAACGAAGGGGAACAAAAATTATTAAGCAATCCTACTTTTTTCCTTTAACTTTCAATATAAAATTTCTATTAAAAGTCTCGACCTGTTATTAGACGTAGACTTTTTTTTCTCTATCAAACTGATCCATAGCATTTGTTGATAAATTTTCAGCTTATCACTTGTTTGCGATAGTATGCAACTTTTCTGATAAACATGGTTGATACTTACGGATCCTTATGACCATATCAAACATTCATCATCTAATTGTATACCACCACGCATCACATATTCCATGATTATGAGAAATGTCCTTATAAAAATTCACATAGCGATTAACGGTTGCAAATCCTAGTAAATGATTTTGGGTTTCGGTCCGGTATCTTCTGGTTATTGAAAAAAAACAATCTTTATTCAATAAGATGAATGAAGAAATAATCCGCGGACACACAAAGTAATAAATTCAAGAACATAGCCTACAAAAGCAACAGTACTCTTTTAAGAAAATACATTACAAATAATGGTGTTGTTAATGGTTGGAAGAAAAAGAAATCAGCAATAGATATAAAACGCAAAAGCTAATGGGAAAATTATAAGATTGAGAAAAAGAGAATAAGATGCGGTGCTTGATGCACCGCTTGCTCTTTTGCTAGCCGAAGGACCCGACCCAAATCCTCCTGGTGATGGTGATTCCGCACCTATTCAAATTTCAATCATTATGATTAATGAGTTAGCAAAGTATCAAACTGAAATGAACTAAACCAAACCAAAATAATCTTTTTAAAGTAAAAAAAAAAAAGTTTGATTTAATTGTGGTGAATCTTCTCTTTAACCGGAACAAACAAAAACCAAACCATTTCTAGAATCTAAATGCAAAATGAAGTGGATCGTTTACCTGACATCGAACCTGGAGCATAGGCTGGGGAGGCTCCCTCGTTGCCCATAGCTACAGGTGCTCCAACTGGAATACCAAAAACTGGTAACAAAAGAAAATTGATTAGAACTCTTTTAAAAGAATTATTTTTGAGTCACTCATCATTAGTATGAACTTTGTTCGTGTAATTTGCATGAATCTGAGCTCAAAGTAGATGATTTATAAAGTTATGGTCTAAATTCGTAATTCAGTAACTTTAACATCAAGAAAGGAAAATAAAATAAGACAAAAAGAAGAAAACATGTGATACTTTTCGGCAACTGACAAAAGTAGTTGAGTAATTAGTAAAGTTGGATGGCTCGTCCAATAAGAATAAATGAAATCACATTTTCTATTGATTATTAATTTTAACAAGATTCAAACATTAGTGACATATACAGGAATAATTTGATTCATTCTTAAGATATTTCTCAATTTATGTAGTTTAGGTATCCGATCCACATTATTTCATTTTCTAGAATTTCACAAAGAAAATTAAGTATTTATATGAATCAAAAATCACCTATCAATTAACATATACATAAACATTAACATATAGTACACTGTATTTCATGCTTTTGAAAAACTCATTTATAAAGATTTGTCTATATTTTCCTTCAATTTCTATCTCGTAGACTTCAGTTTCAAAATATCTATCTCCTAATAGACTCAGCTTCTTATTTTCAAATTTTTGACTACTATAAGTTTATACATTTGAGTTATTTTTGGTCATGAATATTCATTAGTGTTCGTATAACTATATTTGCATGCAAGATTATTTACTTAACAACTTCCATGAATTTGAAAACCAAAACTTAGAATGAAGGTGGAGAAATATACGAGAACAAAGTGATGGATCCGGAGTGAGGACACCGCAAACTCCGGGAAGTTTGAGAGCCTTTGCCTTATCAATCTTGATTCCAAGCGTAGCCGCCATGTCACCGGAGAGAAGGTAACATAAGCATTGCGGCGAGCTCTCCACCAGCCCCGCCAACGCCGGACAACAAGTCTTGTCCGGCTTAGCCGCGCCTCCGCCTTCTCCGACCGTAACGTACGAGAGACAGCCTGTCATGTTCATTAGGTTCGCCATGCAGTCTGGTGCTCCCGACGGTCCTGACGATGGAGACATATCCATTTGTGCTGACACATGTCCTGTTAGCGAGGCTGTGATGAGAACAACGGCGATTACTACAACGTTAGACATTGTTCTTTGCGTTGGTTTGAGAGAAGAAAAGAATTGTGAATATAAATCTTGTGAGCGGAAACAAAGCTATATTAAAGGATTTCGTTAGTTGCCATTAATGCGTGTTAATAACTTCCACCTACCTCTCTTATTTTATTTTTTCCCTGTATTTTAAAGTTTCTTATTATAAAAAAAATAACTAATAAAAAAGTTTTAAAGTACATAAAATGTTACTCCCTCTGTTTTCGAATAGTTGTCGTTTTAGAGAAATTTTTTTGTTTTTAATTAGTTGTCGTTTTAAGGTAATAATGTAATTTATGCCAATAACTACCCAAATTACACTCATTTTATTGAACACAAATTATTTGTAAATAATTACTTGTCATTTTTATGAGGTTAATATAGTCATTGTATACCTTTTCTTAATTTGTCCAAATACAGTTAAAACGACAACTTTTAAAAAACAGAAGGAGCATTAATTTGTTGCCGTATATAAAAGGAGCTGTGGTGGCAAAATCAAATCAATCAAAGAATAATGCGTTTTTTTCTTTTGTGGTTAAATAGGAAATTATGAGTTGGAAAAATGTGTAAGATTTTTGTGATAGTACTATGAAAACCATCACAATTCACAAACTGTACCAATCTCTTAGAATAGTTATATTTACATCAAATTAAAATAACGAACCACAAACCGTACATACTGATGATAATATATGTGAAAATTTAAAAAGTGTTTTGCTAAGATGAAATTTTGGTTCTTGTTGTTGGGTCGGCTCAATTATTTGGTTTTTGTTTGTTTGTTAGATTTAGAAAATGGTGCTGTTGCTAAAGTAGAACAAAAAAATTAAACAAAATTACAAATAACAAGTAGAACTTACTTTAAAATAATCTCTCTGAACAAAAATATATCTACAGTAAATGTTTTGAAAAATATTTTAACATATTTGAAATTTTGGTTTAGTTTGATTTTGGTTCGAAGTGGATTTATTTGATATTTAGAAAGTTTAGTTTGGATTAGACCATGAATGATAGTAGTTAAATAAGTATTTGGATTTTATGTTATAAAAGTTTATTTCAGTATCCAATCAAGATTTTAGTTAAAACATTTGTTGAACATTTTCATTTTATTTGAAAGACTAAAATTTACTTAACTGATTTTTTTCATTAAATTAGAAACTAGAAGAAAAACACTCGTAGAAAATCTAAATATAATTTCCATCTCTATGTGTTTACCTTTCCACCAAAACAAAAAATTAATCTCCGTGTGCTTACCGACCTTAGAGCAACTCCAACCATAGAACACCAAAACACCAAATTTTAACACCAAATTTGGTGTTTTAGTGTTCTATTTTTTTTTTCTATCTCCAACCATAAACACCAAATCTCACACCAAAAACAAAACTTTTCTTATTATATTATTATTAAATTTAAAATTCTCTTTATTTTTAATAGTTTGATAAACACTAATTATCTTTAAAACTGATTTATTTTATTTTAATTAATATAAGATTACAATCGATAAACTAAAAATAATAGAAAATACATTACATTGTACTAATTCTCAGAATTAAAAGTTTTCATATTAATTTAATTAAAATTTCATATTATAAAATATGAGAACATACCAAAATGTTGATGGTATACTTGTCTTTTCTTTGATAAACAATAATTTAAATATAAAACTAAATAAAAAATACAAATAAACTAATAATTTTTTTTTGGTGTTTTGTGAACAGTGTTACACCAAATACCAAAATAAAACACCAAAATAAAAAAGATGGTGTCCATTATAGTGTCACGTTGGAGTTGAATTAACACCAAATTTGGTGTTTTGGTGTCTCCTTAGAGATGGTCTTAGAGCAACTCCATAGAACACCAAAACATCAAATTTTAACACCAAATTTGTATTGAGTATTGACTATTGAGTAGACAGTTGATGCGTCGAAAAGCGTTTGAACGCATTAAAGAGAGACCACATGTTCTACGAATATGATAAGACAAATATGAAATATATTACTACATCTTTCAAAACGGCATTATTTTTGTTCACAAACATAATGAACAGATGTGACTATATGCAAATATAAAACTTTAGGTATAGATGTAATTAATGAAGCCACCATTCTCTTACCGAATTAGATAAGCAACCACATGGGCATGGCCATCTTCATAACTTCCAGCTGTTTTGGTCTTCACGTTCTTAACGTTATTTTTTGTGGTTCCCCACTTTCTTAGTTGAAATAAAATGTCTCCTCTTTTTCAGTTTTCTTAAAAATGATGAGAAAAAAAAAAGAATGAAAGCGAATTAAACCAAATCAAAATCATTTTTGTTTCGTTTATAGTAAATTCCTAATCAATATTATAAAAATAAAATAATATTCTTTCACCAATATGTCAACATATTTCTATTGCCAAAAAGCTGACATTTTAATAAAAGTTATAAATAATTAAAGTATAAAAATTAATACAGCTTTGGAGATGACACATGAATTTCTAAAATTTTCTTATGTGTTTGTTTGGTATACTTTTTAAAAGTGATTTCTTAGTGTGCTTTGGATCCGATTGTACCAAACCATTCTAATTGTAATTTGACTAGTTTGTTATAAAATATAACGCATATAAATATATTATTATTTTATTTGTATAAAGAGAATGGCGGAGACGAGGGAGAGAGAAAGACTTAAACAAACACAAACTCTTCTTATTATTACTCTTCATCACTTTCTTGTTTTTCTCTTTGATCGTACATCATATATATAAGAAAGGTAGAAAAGAGATAACTATTAATTACTTGGACTCCAAGTTCTTATACTTACTTAAAGAAGTAAGCCATATAGATAAACATA